TCTCACTAATCGCCAAAGGGTTGAAACAGGAACGCACACAACAGAGCACCACAGACAAACCACTTAACTCAGACTGACGCCAGCTCACTAACAGTCGCGGGAGACCCCCAGCTAACACCACCTAGCAGCACAACTCGTAACTACAAAGCATGTGCGCGCAACAGGTCAGTTCCGGTTATTTTTGGGTCCCCCTTCATATAGGGACCGAAACATGTTAGGGTGCTAAGAAGTGAAGTAGTAAAAGTTTCAACAGTCACACTGGATGGAACTGTTTTTTCATTTGTTCTACTGAAGGATTTTTTAATAGTAATTACTAATTTTAATGTGAATTTTTAAGGTTTTATGTATCATAGGTGCTTTATTTTGGCATAAATATTGTGATGTGTTGCGCTATGGAGGACACCCCCTCCCTCCCCAGCAGTGACGTGGTGGCATCGGAGCACTGTCATTACTACGGTAACAGGCAAGTCAACACCCCGCCCCCTCACATGGTGACGTGACCAAGGGATGCCGTGGTTACTGCACAGCAGGAAACAACTCTAGACAGTGCTGCCCAGCAACACCAGTAAACACGTGACTAGGCAACAAGGAAGCAAGGCGTTTTCCCGTTGTCCGGTTGAGGGTTTATATGAAAACTACACAGCCTACGAAGCCAGTTGGAATCTAGCAGCAGTCGTGGAAAGAAGAACCGCACGCGTGTGTGATAATCAGTGATAGTCTGTGATAACTGAGAAGGTATTGTGAGTAATTAAGTTGCACCTGTACAATTCCCACATTATGTATACGTGTAGACTACTGAGGATAGAGTGAATTGATTAGTGCGGAGGGTTTGTAAATTGTGTAAACCCGTAACTGTTATATAATTAATTGTAGCCAAGACTTGTAGGTTTTAAATAAACCAATTAACAATCTGAACGACGTCTTCAGTAGCAAAACACGCTACAATATGTACTTATCTACCTTTTGGTATGATGATTTTTTACAATATTAAATTTAAGATGTTGTTATGTTTAATGTTGAAGTATGAAGATAAAACAGTTTGGTTTGTTGTTTGACCTGACCTATGCTTATTTTCATAGTATGTGTATTTTAGTTACTTGTCTGTGACTGGTTCTATATCCGTCAGGCGTATTTGTAGCCTAGATTGGATTGACGGAATTTTACAATGGAATATAAAATATATAATATAATATAAGTCATATTATGATTAAGGTCATTACTTTGCAGATAAACAGAACTTTTGCCATGTATACTGCATATCAGATAAAATTAATAACAAATAAAAAGCATTAAAGGAAATATCTTAGAGAAATTGTGTGATTATATGGCACATAAAATTATGTAAAAAAAGGTTAAAATTATATTTAAGATCGTTATTAGGTTAATCTGCAGATCAACTGAACTTCACTGTTTTTTTTGTAAAAGGTGAAATATTTTAGCCCATCTTTTTTACGCTGTTGAACTGAACAGCATTTTTATCTACCCAGTCTGTGAAACTCTGGCCCATTTTCACAATGCATTCCAGAAGACTGAGAAAATCTTTCTCTGCACAATGGCTGTTTACAGGGTCTTTCTTTAAGAGGAACCTGTACACATCATTAAGTGTGAATCTTGGTACAATCTGCAAGCTGTTCTCTGAGGAGAAACTGAGTCTCTTTCTTACTTGATGGGAGCTATTCAAACAGCTCTCACTTGCTTCAATACTCCTGGGAGTCTCGACTCTTCGCGTCACGTCACAGGGTGCTTGATATGGATGCTTCCTTCTCACAGTAATAGGACGACATGGTGTCTTCTCAAGAACATTTTGAAGCACACTGACTTCATTCTTCTTTACTGCTGGTGAGTCAAGAATTATAACTTTGCATTCATCTGTTATCTCCATTCTTTCCACTGCGTCAACAGCTGCGCGACAGAGATCATCATCTGCATCATCAAAGAAAGTGTGATCTCCTAAATTATGCTCTGACACGGGCAGCAAGCATAGTGCTTCATCATAGTCATTCAAATATAATTCACTCTGTTCCCACTCTAAAGTTGGGCTAACAAATTCTGCACATGTGTCATTTGTATTTTTCATATCTTGAAGGTTTCCAATGCTCAGTGGCTGGACATGACATAATATGCTACTTGGTTCAGTAGTTATGGGCTTGTTACTGCAACCTTCTACATGTTTAGTGGTTTGAAGCAGCTTCCGGAAGCCAGAGAGGGAGTCAGCACACACAATGTGAGCAGGAAGTTCCTGTAAGAGACAGATTCTTGGTTTGAATATTATATGGTAGATATCAGGTACTGAGATGGAGGGTGTGAGGCACTGTGTAGGCTGGTACATATTTGCCAGTGTTGTTAACACTACCAGAAGACAATCTTCAAAAGTACACTGTTATTAAACTGTTCAGTGCTAGAACACATAGAGTTCCCACACTGTATATTCTGTGGATATTCAATCTGATTGAAAGAAATGTGGGTGTATACCCATGTCATAATCACATAGGCCATTTAGTTAATTTACATACATAAGCTTGTATTTCAACTGAAGATATAACTGTATTGCTGAAATATGAATCGACAGTTCAGATACTGCACGACACTTGCGTTCAGTATATAGCATCTTGTGTAGGGTGGTCATAAATTCCAAATCTTTTGTATAATGTAAGTTATTCAGATGAAACTCAATATATGACACTTATATTTCGCAAGAGATTGGGACTTTATGATCACCCGACACAGTGTCTTGAAGTGAGTCTTGCAGGTCTGCATGTTGTGTAACGAACCCTCTCTTATACAATGAGTTATTTTTCACAAATTTGATTCAATTTGCCTAACATGTACAGTAAGGTTTATAGAGCAAAAATGTCAATCAAATCAATATCTGCTCTCATACTAATGTTTATTGAATGATCTTGGAACTGAAATACACAGAGACAGAGACAAACATGATGTTCCCATTATGCAAGCACTGCATACTGAATGTATAAAAAATATACAGTATTATCAAGAGGCCGGGAGCAGTGTCACATTAATCCTTAGTATCAATATACTTCAAGAGCTGTTCATAGTGTTACAAGTTCTTAGGTTTTCACAAAAATGATCCTTCCTATTGTGGACTTCTGGTTAGTGACACAGGGCAGTTTGGGAGGGGGATGCCAGTCTGACCTGAGCTGAATCTGCTCTTTGTGACCACACTGTCCTTCATCAACATTACACTTTCAATACTGATAATGTCTTTAAAGAACAAACTAAAGAAAAAAACTGAACACCTCTGTGGCAAGCTCCCTATATAAACTGACCACTGCACCACATCCACTTCATCCCTGAAGATGGAGGCAGCATGTTCCTCTAAAATGTTAGTATCCATCTACAGTACTGACAGTGAATGTCAACACAGTTCAGATATACAGAATGCATTCCCTACCTTGTCAATTCTGTATAGCTCTGCTTGAATGACTGGGAAGTCAAACCGAAGACCATTATGTGCGATGAAGCATACGGGTTGTGGCAGTCTTTCTATAAATTCATTCAACATATTGAAGAGATGTTCATCAAATGGACTGTGATGCTGTAACAACTCATTTGTTAGGTCTGAAATAATGTCATTTAGTGTTAGGAGAGAGAAATTTCTGGCTTATATTGCAACACACAGATGGCTGCACATATGGGATGGACAAATGTGGGACAAAGGAATGAATTTGTATATGGAACTATATTAGCGGATCAGAGCTACCTCAAACTGATCCACATGTTGAATACATATCAGGGAATGGAGATACAGCTCAAGGCATTTTTAACCTCAGCACTAAGTGGAGGCGAGTGGTCAACTTCATACTCCTTCACGTGACCCCCTGAGGAAGGAACTCCCATTACCCTTCGTATGAGTTGGGTGGACCCTGAGCTGGCCTGAATGTTTTGGAGAAGAGAAAAATCTGTGTCCCTGCCAGAAATTGAACCATCATTCCTTGGTTGTCCAACCCACTACACTGAGTGAGCTATTCCATTTCTGATTAAGCAGCTAATACAGATGAACAATGCATACATATTTTGTTGCCACTGGTATTACATTCCTCTTTACCAAAAATATAACAATATTTTCCAAAGATGCTGCTACTTCAAAAGTTCACACAGCATGGTAGAAATAACAAAACTATGCCAATTGATTCAGACACTGCAGTATGAAGAAAAAGAGAGCTGTAATACAAGAACATGTTTATGTTTCTTTGCAGGATGATTAGTATGCAACCCATTTGAGAACTGGACCAACAACCAACCTTGGGAAGTTCAACCCAGTCATTTCAAGTATTATTTTTTAGTTATGGTCCAGTTCAGTGACACTGCAGTCAGTGTGCAATGTATAGTTTTTCCTCACAAAATAGGTTTGTAGTTGGGATACCAGATTCCAAGGCAGTAGCCATACAATGTTGGTTCTTACTTGATTAAGTGCTTCTGTCAGTTCTGAAGTACCCATCAGCTACAGCCTATCTTTGGATGATTGCTAGCAGTTAAGCAGTTACCCCCAAAATGACTCGGTTTAGTCAGTAAATATGTGTATACATTCAGTTCTGGCTGCAACAGTTGTACTAAATGGTGGTTATCACTGTGAATGGATATGGTTAGATCATTGCTAACTGCACCTTTTTGTATGCATTGTATATATGAAGCACTGTTCTGCTGGAGAATGAATATGTCCTAAGGCCACAAGTAAACTTACTGATAGAAGTCAGGTCTAATAAGTCGCTCAAAAGAGAAACTTCTGTAGAACAGTACATTTGTGTGATCTTACCCTAGGTGACTTTATATTTTGGAATAGTTCAAAGGAAAATAAACTCAACCCCCTCAACAGACAATAGCTGAAGGAGAACATTAACTATAGAGCAGACTCCAATTTCTGTAGCCCATCTACCCCATCTTGTAAAGAATTCACATTTTTATGGACATTACCATTAACCGGAAGTTACTAACTGGGGATTTTAACACAACTTCAATTTGTTTCAACAAGATCCAGGCTTTGGGCAGATGTGTAAAGGAACAATTTCGGAACCCCTTATGATCCATGTAAGTTTTGTTTTATTGTTACAAAAGTATTCTAGACTAGTACTGGAATTCACTTCTAGCACTTGAAAGACTGTTGGATGCTACTGGCTCATAGTTGCAAAGGGGCAAATGCCAAGTAATAAAACTGCGAATGTACACTACATACTATAGTCAAACCAAACCTAGAGTTCTATCTTGTGGGATATAACACGGTGTAGACTGCTGAAAGTCAACCGATATTTCGGAGGAACATGTCACCTCCGCCATCAGGGAGATCAGGGACGTGAACAAGGTTAAGCAAGAAACCAGAGCAAAACGGGTGGCAACACTGGTTCTTTAGTCGACTTATTCTTCGACCCCGAAAATGGGAGATACACGTTCCTCCGAAACGTCGGTTGATTTTCAACTGACTACACGGCATTATACCCGAGAAATCTGAAATCTTCATAACCACCACTGTGAGAACCTTAAATCGTACAAACCTAACCTAGACAGCTGTGATAAATGACAAAAATAATGTAACATACGTGTCAGTTCTGCAGCACGTTTTGAAACAGATCTTCTTGGATCTACACAAATAGTTAATTTAGACAATACTCTAGGCACAAGAACGTCGCATGTCACATCATTTCCACATTTAAGTATGTCTTCTCTCAATGCAGCAACCATTGCTATTTCCGTTATTCTAACGGGTTTGTCATATGGCAGGCCTGTCGTTTCTAAATCTAATATTATGAAGGTTCTGATAAGTTCCTGAGCACAATTTTGTCTGTTTAACGTAACCATTCTTTTTTTTTTTTGTAACTCAGTCGGAAAACAATCACACACCCTTCCCTTTGGTCTATCAGCACCGATCAGCACCACAACCATCCAGCGCCTCCTGCGCCGGAAATCCCGGAAATGGTCATATGTCGTCATATGTTGTGCTTTAAGATTATAAGATGTTTAAGACAAAATGTCCGAAGGTTGTGGTGCGAGGAAAGAGATGAATAACGTGGCTATGTCTGTACATGACTCTGGCGAAAAAGGAGTTGGTAGTGGTCTGTGTAAGAGATTAAATAAGATTTTGGAGACAAGGCTTGAAAATGATAAGGAGACCTTGGAAGCCCTCAAGGAACTTTCCACGTTTTTCACAGAAAACACTTTACAAGCACGAAGAAATTTGAGAAGTAAAATAGAGAAACGAAGTCTTGCCATAAACGAGGTAGTTTTAAGTTGTAGTAAACATAATATCACAATTGTTGCCGATTGAATTGGGATTAATATATTTTATAAGAGTTTAAATGAAAGTAACAGCTTTCAGTCATAGTTTCGGAATGCAAATCCCGATTAGCATGGACGTTGATTCGGATTACTGACAGTTACAAAGGGGAACTGAAAGTTTTTGTTGTCACTTGTTTTATTGCATGATTGAAATGGAGCTGGAGGTTGATCACATCTTTTACATTTTACCGTTGCATATTACATATAAAGTCGTGACATTCTTTGTGGTAATAGATAATATGCTCTCGGTCTTCTGTGCCAAGTGCCAAGGTAACTTGTACAGAACGAAACCAACATAATAAAAACAAATCAAATCAAGTCAGAACATTTGATATAAAATTACCTTGGAATATTAATATGGTGGGAATCAAAATAATTCCAAATTATCTGCTGTACCATACATATGTGTTTTGTAAATCAGTTAAGCTTACAATTTTTGTGTTTAGCTGGACTCTCTAGAAAGTAAGCAAGAAAATAAAGGAATCTGAGCACCCTTAATTACAGTAGCCAAGTCAGTGAGAAAATAAAACTAATTCAAAGCAACAGCAGTTGGTACAACAAGATCATTAGATGACATCATGCTTGGAATATGTCTTAGTGTATCAACATTGGCTAGATATAATGACAAAAATTAATTGCACACCCATCATGGAGTATTCCACTTTTGAGGGTTAGTGCCCATGTTAGGTGGGTCCCTTGTTACCAAAGCATGGTTTGTCCTTAGGTTATGGATGGAGAATGCTTCCAGATATGGAGGGTAGTTGCGAATAGATTGAATAAGCAGTCACAGTCATCCGACAAAGGGTGGTCCTCCACCTTGGGGGTTGAGCGTGGGGCTAACAACTCACTGTAAAAAATAATCCTGTTATGAAAATGAACACAAAGCCTCAGACCTGGATGGATCCTCTGGATAAATTACTAGGCTAAAGAGTAAACTTTGCCACATCCAAAAATCTGGCTGTCAAAAGTGCCATGTTCCCACATCATAACATTCATAAATTTATTTGGTGATGCTCTGATGGAAGTTGCTGCTACTGGTGCTTGCACCAGGTGGAAGTAGTAGATCCAGTTCTTGGGAAACCAGGATGATGAAATCCCCATTTTTGAGGAAACAGTGGGTTTTAAACACAAGACCCAGAATAAAGTTAAGTGAAGGAATGTAAGAATTTAGGCTTCCACAGCAGTGAAGATTTATATTGTTGTCTACTGAGTAATCTGGTAGCTGGGTATGAATGTCTTAGGGTACGTACTTTACCCATTTTCACAATTGAACAGAGTTTTGCTCTGAAGATGGAAACAGTATGTTCCTCCAAAATGTTCATACCTTTCTGCCGACTACACAGTATCACATGCCAGAAGACAGTAATCTTCATATTGGAGCCTGTTCTTAATTTTGGTTTTAATGTAAACCCCCTATGTTCAGGAATTTCTGTCAGCTTTCTCTGAGGTGAAGGAGGCACTGGATGCCATCTACAGGGATGTGTCTGAGATGAACAGTTCTGTCCAGAACATGACAGCTCGTCTTCAAGCAACAAAAACTCAGACACGTCATCTCATTGATCAGACTACAAAACTTCAAGGGGAGAGGTACTGCAGCCACATTAAGATATTTATGTGAAAGAAAATGAACTATAATACTTATAGTAATGATCTGTCCATGATTGGCTGATGAGTAATGATGTCACACATGTTGAAAGCAGTTCTTTCCTTTTAACCCCTCAGGGACTAATGTCCCATGTATTAGAAAAGAAATTTCCATCTCCACTTAAGCATGTTAGCGCTGAAAGGTCTGTTTGTTAATCACTGCTACAGAAATGTTTATGCATGGGCTTGTCATCTGATGGGGCTCCCTTTTGATCATGTTTAGTTGGGAGGGCACTAACAGTGCCACCAATGGACTCAGTGAAGAAACTTTCAAAATTGAGTGACTTGTCTTTGTGTAATCAGAATGGTTTGCAAAACCATGACAAGTGTAGGGAAACCTAGCGGTGATGACAGATGTAACATATGAAAGGTGTAGCTGTTAAACGTTAAAATCCCGTGAAATTCTCAAGTGGTAATGGCATGCTTAAGGATACTGTTCTGCCATTTGGCTGGAGGGACTGTGAACAACCACAGAGGACTTTGAGGTATTTGGTATCCAAGCTCAGATTTGAACTGGGCACCTCCTGAAAATGTACCATCTGATCCATCTTGCGTGGCAGAGAGATGAAGGAGGAGGTTTCAAGGAGACAGAAACACACAGAGAAGCTTGGTTGCTTATGTGGAAACTTCAGAGAAAGAAAAAGACATTCTATGTGATATGCAGAGTCAGTCATAATTAGAACTTCCCAGGTTTTGAAGTTTTAGAGTTAAAGTATATTTATTAAATTTTCCACCTTTTCATGTGTATATGGATGGTTTTCTCAAGCAGATCTTGCATTGGTGATGTGACCTGGTTTTCTTTGTAGCCAGAAGCTGTGTATGCAGCAAGAGGTGGCAGGTGCATTCCTTAGAAGTTTTCAGCTGTCTTCGGCCGAACAAGCTGTATTGCATGGTTCCTCACGTGAAGCAGAAATCACAGATGAATTCTTTACAGTTTTAGACAGAGTTCAAAGTATTCATAGTAATGGCCGGATGTTAATGCAGTCTGGCCATCAGACAGCTGCACTTGAAATCATGGAGCAGATGGCTCTTTACCAGGTGTGTTTCATTCTTAACCTTTAAACGACTAAAGTCCCCATATGGGGTCGCACAAGTTTAGTCAGCGGTACGAATGTCCCCATATGGGGTCGCACAGTCCGTGCGTGCGGACGTTATTTGAAATACATTTTAAGGTAGAAAATAATGTCCTACTTATATAATTTTTGGCCACCATCTGCATGGAGTATCTGTCTTCCCACCTGCGTCATCTGCCAGAATGTTGCTTTCGTGTGGAATTCTAAAAA